CTGGTGCCAAGAGTGTTGACCGTGGAGCCGAGCAAACTGAAGCTGTGAACAATCTCAATCTCTTCGTCATCCATCCTGATGGTACCAATTGGTCCAGTGGTGAGAATCTTTGTCTTGACATTGAGCCTCAGTCCATACTGAAGGCTATGGTCCTTGACCCTCTGCAGCAAGTGCATGAGGTCCTCCTCATTTTCAGCAAGCAGGGTTGTGTCATCTGCATAATGCAGATTGTTAATAGATCTTCCATCAATCCTGACGCCACAATTCTCCTCATAGAGCCCAGCCTCTCGGATAATCTGCTCTGCATATAGGTTGAAAAGGTATGGAGATAGGACATATCCCTGTTGGTAGGAACGTCTTAGGAGCCCGGGGTCCTTAGCTGCCCGCCCACTCCTCGCTGTCTTCCTGAGTGGCTCCAGGCGGTGAGTTCCCAGGGCTGACTCTGGATTCCCAACCCCCAGCCCAGGAGAGGTCCACTCTTTGCAACCTCTGTCTGTGCAGGTCAGACAGACTAGCACAAGATTGCAGACTGCATTCCGGATGCAGCCGCCCCAGGCCCCGTGGAGAAAAGACAACTGGGTGGGGGCTGGGCTGGGGTAAGAGAGGTGGGGACCTCTAATCTCCAGGAAACTGGGGGAGAAATCAGAGATGGACAGCAGCCTCTGCAGGTCAGAAAGGAGGGAGGCGAGGCCTCGGAGCTCTGAGATGCGACTCGAGGAGCCCCGAAACCTGAGTGTGCGTGTGGGAGACTGGTCAGAGGACTCCTCCAATTCCTGCCTCTCCTGGGGGCCCTCTCGGTCCTCCCGGGGGCCTCCTGTCCTCCCAGCCTGTCCCCCCACCACCCTGCACCCTCTGCGGATTGGTCCCCGGCCTGCCAGGGGGCGGTGCCCTCGGTCCCTGACGTCAGCGGCCGAGGGGGGCGGGGGTTGGGGGAGGGGGAGACGGGCCCGGCTCAGCACCTCGGAGAGCTCCCTCCCCGGCCTTGTTTTGCTCCCGCGTCGCCGCCGGGGGAGGGAGTGAGGGGGCCGGGCGCGAGGCGCGGAGGCAGGGGGATGGCCGCGGAGGGGTCGAGGGGCCCCGGCGGGCGGAGGGCCCAGCCGTGAGCCGGCGGGGGGCTGGAACGCCGGGCGGGGTGTGGAGGGCAGCGGGCGGCGGCAGCAGTGGCCGCACATCTGGATGGAAGCGAGCTTTGTCCAGACCACCATGGCTCTGGGGCTGTCCTCCAAGAAGGCGTCTTCCCGCAATGTGGCCGTGGAGCGCAGGAACCTCATCACCGTGTGCAGGTGGGCGCCCTGCAGGCGGGTGGGGGGCGGGCTGGTCGGGGAGCCGGCGTGGGGCTGCGGACACCGGGACCTTGCGTGTCCGCCCGCGGGAGGGGCCCCAGCAGCTGGGGACAGCAAGGAAGGAGCAGTGGGGTGGAAGTGCGCGTCCACGGCCCTTCCCAGGCCCTGCCTGGGGGTGAGGCGGAAAGTCTGGTCCCTCTCCTTCTGGGCCAACGAAGGCCCAGGCACAGACTGGGACCTGGTGGGGTAGGGGGGCTAATTGGCACTGCAGCTTCCTGTTAGAGCCAGGAAGTGACATTGTGTGAGAGGAGGAGGGGGAGGGATGTCTGGCTCTGTTGCTGGGGGCTCGAGCGGGGTGGGCCTGAGCACTGATGGGTGGGGAGGCCTGGTGATGGATGGTCTCTCCTGGTACCCTCATCCCCACCCCTGCCCATCAGGCCTCTCTGGGTGGGGTTTGCCTGGGAGACTTCCTTTGGCCCAAACCTTGGATCAGCGCCTGTGCCCTCCTCCATCTTTGGGAGCCGTAGCCTGTGGCAGGGTCGCTGGACAGGTGGGCAAAGCCATGAACTGGGCTATAGGTGAAGGGTGTTTCTCCTACCATGGGCAAAAATGAGGGCTGGCCACGGAAGCCTGAATCCTGGGGATTCAAGGAGAGGAAGATGCGGGTAGGGCCCGTGGTCTCTGAGGGTGGGGCTGTCGCAGTGTAGGAAAAACTCACCTGTTCTCTTGGGGCCTAGGAAGTGGTCCTTCCCACTTCAGCCCTGCAGTGACTCACCTTCCCTGCTCTGTCCCGAAGCCAGGAAGTGGTGAATTGATCAGCAGCCCCATCCACACTCACTATCCACACTATCTCCAGGGCTCCAGTTGTTAGAAAGTAATCTGGGGGGGCGGGGTGAGGGGGTGACCCCGGGTGCAGGGCTCAGCCAGCTTCCCTTTCCAGCCCTATCTGCCTTGAGCCTGCCTCTTCCTCAAGGAATGAGTGCCCACCTGATGCCCTAGTTCTTCCTGTAGCTCCTTCTAGGTTCCCAGGCACACAAGCAGCCATCCTGTGTCTGGCTTGCACCATTATAGCTCTACTGCCTAGCACAGTGCTATGCACATCAGACTTTCCACAAAAATGCTTTGAATGTTGTGGAAGGAATAAGTGCACTAGAGCCCAACCCAGAGCACCAGCCAGTGCCCTCACCTTCTCTCTCACCTCACCCTGTGTTATCAAGGATTTCAGCTTTGAGGCACTGGTCCTAGGTCCAAGCTCTACACCACTGCACGACTTTGAGGAAGTCCCCTGACCACTCCCATCCCCCAGAGAATGGTTTTGACAGGAAATGTTCAGGAGCACAGCACACAGAGACCACCAGGTCTTGATGACACCCCTCCTGTCGCTGGTGACACTTGACTTCCCAGGTTCCTTCTCCTTCTCTGGCCCCTGTCAGGATAATTGAAGGTTTTGGGTGTGGAAGGGAAGGAGAAGCAGAGGTTCCTGGTGGACTTGAGGTGGGTGCAGAGCTGGGATAACAGGTAGAGAGTTGGGGGATCAAGGTATAACAAAGTCTTAGAAAACCCTTGGGTCCCTGTCACACGTCATCACTGTCACATGGTCTGCCTCCAGCTCCCAGAACAGCTCCCTTTAGCAGGCCAAGTGTTCCCCTGGGCCCTGGCCTCTCTGTCTCCATGGTAACCAGCATCAGCCAGTGCACTGCCTAAACAAGAACACACCGTGGGACTCCTAGGGGCGATGACCAGCTCTACAGCACCCCTGAGGACAGATGACTGTCACACTGCACCCAGCCCCAGGCCCCTGCTGAGGCCTGACACAGATGACCAAAAGAAATCACTGAGGGAAACTTCTAATGAGGCCATACTGCTGACCTAAACACAGACCCCCTCCCCGTAGGGCCAGTCCTCCCTCTCGGCCTCAGCCTGCTTAACCACCCCTGCCCAGTGGCCTGAACACCCTCCCCCTCTCATAGCTCGGCCTGAGATTGGAATTGCTGTTTAAGGCAGGTACTATCCTTCCATGCATACAGGAAAAATGGGCCCAGAAAGATTGAATGGCTTGAATCCACAGAGTGTTAGAAGAAAACAGCATTTGAATCCACTGGGCTGCCTCTACCCACTGCAATCTCAATTGTGACCGACATGAAGGGGTGGGGCGCCATATGGGTTCAGCAGTGCCATTGACCTGAGAGATCAGAGGCCAGTGCTCCAGGAAGGGAATCTTACTGTGTTGAGGACAGAAAGCAGCAGAGTCAGGGGAGGCTCAGGACCCTGGGTGTAACAATATCCAGGAGGCTACAGTTGTAGGAGAAAGAGCTATAGCATTAGACCTACCTGCCGGACTCTTTGAAAAGTTCTGGTGGTACAGTCCATACCAAGTGGCACTGCTAACCCAAAGACTTTGTGTCTCCGGTGGTTTAAATCCACCAGCAGTTCCCTCAGAGAAACATGAGCTTTCTCCTCCCGTTATGAGTTATATATAGCCTTAGAAACCTGATGGAGGGTTACTGTGAGTCAGACTGATTTGATGGCAGTGAGGTGAGCTTGACTCCTTACTTGTGGTCTTAACAGATTAGTCAACCTCCTGGAGCCTCAGTTTCCTTATCTTTAAAATAAGAATGATGATGAAGATAGTGAGAAGAGAATCTACCTCCCAGAGTTGCCGTACGTGGCATAGTATAAGGGCTGAAACATTTAGGAAGGAAAAAAGGACAGTTCCAAGTCTCCATGCCCTGGTACCTCAACCTCTTCCCTGTCGCTTCACTCAACATAGTATGAATGGGATGCCCTCTTCCTGGCCCCACCTCACTGCAGACTGGGGATTGCAGTGAAGGGATTGCAGAGGGAGTCTGAGGCTTTGAGCAGGACTGGAAAGGGGTGGGCAACTAACTGCCTGTCCCAGTCCCTCAGCCCCGCTGGCTTCCCTTGTCTCTTTCTGCTCTGGGAAGCCAGGTGTCCAGGCCCCCAAGCCCCTTCTCACCCAGTGTGTGTAACAGACCCACATCCTACCCTCCCCTTCCTAGCTCTGCACTGCCTGGATCTGGGCAGCTGGTGCGTGGGCGGTTGAGCTAAGAAGAAAAGGGGGAACCAACCGGAGGGATCCATTTGCTGAGAGCCCACCTGGCCACTCATGCGTGCCCACACTCCATGTGCACTGTGCCAATCACATGCCCTGGCACAGGTGACTCCCCCACCCTCCAGGAAGGACGGCAGGTTGTCCCAGCAATAGCAGAAGCCATTCCAGGGCAGCATACAAAGGGGCCGCTTCCTGCTGTGTAATCTCCAAGGCAGAAAATGAGACTGAAGAGAGGGATTGAGGAGGAAAGGGACACCCATAGATAGGCTCTGGAACAGCCCCCGGCTTTGGTGCCCCATCTTTCTACCTAACACCTCTTCCCCTCCCATGCTTTGTTCTCAGAGCTTCTCTCCAGCTGTCACGTCTCCTGTCACCTACCTCATCAGTCTCCTACCTGCCATCCCACCTCCCTACCTGCCACCCTGTCATTCCACATATAGCATCCCTGTGGTCACTTCATTTTCACCTGCCATCCACCTCTCCTTCTCTTGGCCAACCCACCACACCCATGCCCTCTTCTCTGCCCATAGCTCCCCCTCTTGGCCTGACACTTTTCCACTCCTCCCCTTCCCTGTCTTCTTACCTGGCATTGACCATGACCCTCTCCACAGGTTCTCTGTGAAAACCCTGCTGGAGAAGTACACGGCCGAGCCCATTGATGACTCATCTGAAGAGTTCGTGAATTTTGCAGCCATCTTAGAGCAGATCCTCAGCCACCGTTTCAAAGGTGGGCCCAGGCTTCTGTTCCCTACTGCCCAGTGCTCCCCACTCCCAACCTTAGCGTCCAGTCACCCCCTTCAGTATATGCACTGCTTTCTGAACCCCATCACTGACCTAGGCCCCAGTTCTGTCCTCTGCACAGAAGTTCATGCATAGACTGGGAGGAGGAGAGGGGGTGCCTTCTGGGCCTGCACGGTGAATGTCCACAAGCCCCAACAATGGGCGTGAGTTTTGTGCTGGTGTGCCTTCTAAGTGCATGCGTGTGCGCACACACGTGGGGTAGGCACTGTGCATATGGATGGCTACCTGTATTTACACATGCATGTACTCCATGACATGAGCCCTCTCCAAACTCCCTGCCCTGGCTCAGCCTGTGCCCCAGCAGGTCCAGTGAGCTGGTTCAGCTCAGATGGGCAGCGGGGCTTCTGGGATTACATCCGCTTGGCCTGCAGCAAAGTGCCCAACAACTGTGTGAGCAGCATCGAGAACATGGAGAACATCAGCACAGCCCGAGCCAAGGTGAAAGGTCGGGGCCAGGATGGGGCTCCTGTTTCTGGGAGCAGGGGGCCTGCCCACAACTTGGTCTTTTCCTGCCCACAGACATTAGGGAGGGGGTGAAAGGAGGTCACAAAGGCCCCCATAGGGCTGTGAGCAAACCTTAAGCATGCTTTGCAGGGCCGGGCCTGGATCCGGGTAGCACTGATGGAAAAGCGCATGTCGGAATATATCACCACAGCTCTGCGGGACACCCGGACCACCAGGTCAGCCCTGCTGGTCCACTTGGTCACACAGACCCGTTGTGCATGCTCATTGTTTAAGAACGGGTCCTTTTAAGTTCTGGTATCCGGACTACAAGCCCCAGCATGGACTGCTAGCTTTGCTCCCAGATTATTCTTGCGATAGTTGTTCCGTAGACCAGGAACTCACCTTTAGCACCACTATCATTACCTCTGTCAGATTCTAGGCCTCATTATCTCCCACCATTTCCTTCATGTACAGCTCTACCCTTGAACACACCTCTGAACAAGCCTCAGTCATGTATCATTTTACTTGTTGGCCTTGGTTCATGACCTTCGACACACAACCTGGAACTACTGCATCCTAGCCTGCAGTTTCAGCCCTTGAGGTCTGCCAGGAGATAGGGTTCCTGGGTATGAAGCTGTTGGATACAGAATGGGCATGTACCCACCACACAAGCCCTGCCTCCCCAGGTGGCCACACCCAAGCTCTCACTACATCCATACTGTCTACCCTCACATTTCAGAGGTCAGGTTGCCATGATTTTGAGGCCCTGCTATATACTCCATGTGTGAAGATGCAGACTGGTTCCCTGACTTTGAGAATGTGGGTGACCTCTGGGAGGGAAGGGGCAGTTGAGAGGATGAAGGCATGTCCAATCTTGGGGAGCATCCTATCTAATTAATAGATGAGAGGCACAAGCACTGTTCCAATGAGCCTGTCTGAGGAAGGTAACAGGACTCAGGAAAGACTAAAAGGAAGCCAGCCACCTGAGGGGTAAGGACTCAGAAGGAGGTGGGTGCTGGACCACCTGCCTTTCCTTGTCCCTCAGACGGTTCTATGACTCTGGAGCCATCATGCTGCGAGAGGAAGCCACTGTCCTCACTGGGATGCTGATTGGACTGAGCGCCATCGACTTCAGGTGGGGGCAGCATGGTGGAGAGTGGTGGTTCCTGGAGGAAGGTCCACATGCCTACTGGGCCCCAACCCTGTGGTTCCTCTGCCCTAGCTTCTGCCTAAAAGGTGAAGTGCTGGACGGGAAGACCCCTGTGGTCATCGATTACACACCCTACCTGAAGTTCACCCAGAGGTGAGCAGCTGGGGATGTGGGGCAGGGTGGGGGGCAGCATCCTGTCCTGGTCCCACCACACGGGTTGGGGGGCCGTGCTGGTTTAGGACACGGGGCAGGGGTCGACCTGCACCAACACCCATTGCTCCCTCCCGGAAGCTACGACTACCTGACGGACGAGGAGGAGCGGCACAGCGCCGAGAGCAGCACGAGCGAGGACAATTCGCCGGAGCACCCGTACCTGCCGCTCGTCACGGACGAGGACAGCTGGTACAGCAAGTGGCACAAGATGGAGCAAAAGTTCCGCATCGTTTACGCGCAGAAGGTGCGCGCCGCGGAGGGTTGGGGGTGTGGCGGCGCGGGCACCGTCGCCCTCCGGGACTGACCCGCACTCCGCAGGGCTACCTCGAAGAGCTGGTGCGCCTGCGCGAGTCACAGCTCAAAGACCTGGAAGCTGAGAACCGGCGGCTGCAGCTGCAGCTGGAGGAGGCGGCAGCGCAGAACCAGCGCGAGAAGAGGGAGCTGGAGGGCGTGATCCTGGAGCTGCAGGAGCAGTTGTGAGCGTGCAGCCGCCGCACCACAGCCACCCCGCAAGTCCCATCACCCAGGGACCACCCCCCCAAATGATGTCATACCCCATGGTTACATCACTGTTTACCCCAGAATCCAACTCAACCAACAGCCAGCATTAACCCACTGGTCCCCATTACTCTACCCCTTGTGATCTGATAAACCTAGACAAGACCCATTGACTACCAAGGGTCCACAGCTGGACGTCAGCTAGAAGGCCATCCAGCATTCCTCACCACCCCAACATTACTCTCATAGGCCTGTGACCTCACTGTCACCACAACTGGGTTATCTTCCTGGCTCTATATCCCTCAGATCTGTAACATAGGCCACTGGCTGGTGTAACCCCATTCTTCTGACACTTCCCCTAAAGGCCTTCATCACCTCATGACCTTCCAATGTGACTCCCAGATCTTGCCAGTGCCCTTCAAGGATTTTCACACCATTCTCCACTGACCACTCATGCCAAGTGACTCCTAGAATACCCCACTATTCCCTTAAGCCCCAACATTAGTACAATCTGTGCCCGCCACCTCCAACATCCAGTACCATCTCTATTGACTCCCAGGATCTGCCCATTGACCTACATTGTATTCTCATTTTCAAAGCCAGGTTTTGTCTCTAATCCCTCCCCTGAGCTGAACCTCCTTCCTCCCCCATTATGCTGTCAGGCCTGACCCCCCTCTTAACTCCTCCCAGGACAGGTCTCATCCCTGGTGATCATGGCCCCCTGACCCAAGGCTCCAAGGAACTCACCACGCCCTTGGTCAACCAATGGCCATCACTGGGAACACTCAACGGGGCTGAGGGTTCCAACAACTCTAAGCTCTACCGAAGGTAAGTCCCAGAGGGGTCAGCTCAGGCCATTGTGCCAACTTTTGGGGGAAGGGGCATTTTGGGGCCATGGGTCACTGCCTGAAAGCCCACTCTGCTGCAGACACAGCTTCATGAGCACGGAGCCACTGTCAGCAGAGGCCAGTCTGAGCTCAGACTCCCAGCGCCTGGGAGATGGCAAGCGAGATGAGGAGCCCTGGGGTCCCATCGGTGAGCTACCCCAAAGCCAGGTCAACACTCATTCTTACAGCCCTTCCTGATCTTAGCACAACCAAGTTTGGTTTGGGGTGTCATGGACACCAGGGTGCATACAGCTGCACAAGCTGAGCCCCACTCTCATCTGCAAAACAAGGATGTTGAGTAAAGTAACTGTCAGTGGCTGGCACATGGCGAGAGCGCAACAGCTTTTTGGTCTTATCATCCTCTACGGTCTAACAAACTCTCATTTGCTAATTTGTTCACGTACACTTAAAAACTGCTCACCTGACCCTTGTTTCCCCTTTTCTTTGGCTGCCAGGAAGCTCAGAGCCACGTTAGTGGCCCCCTTCAAGTGAATGTTCAGGATTTCAACGCATGCATTTTGTGTTGACCTCACCCCTGGCTTCATCTTGGTTTTTCTCATCCTAGTTCGCTAGTACTCCCTGTGCCTGGATTTCATTTGGTTTGGTTTTTGAAGCCATGCTGTAATGGATGACCCTAGATCTGAGATGAGGCAGGTCATGGACATGTAACAATGCCATCACTGTATGTGACTGTCTGTGTGTGTCTCCCCCACCAGACTGTGAGCTCCATGAGGGCAGGGACCTGTCGCGTCCACTTTCTGTATCCCCTGTGCTTGGAACACAGCAAGTGCTCACTGTGTGTTTAATAAATGGACAGAGAGGCTGAACCTCTGGGGGAGACAGACACAAGTTGACGATTACAATATAGTGCTTTTAATCAAGGTTAACTGGAAAGGTGAGATGCTCCAGAAGAGATGGGGGTGACGGAGTCCTTCACTGCTAGCTCTCCTTGCACCTCAAACCCTCCCCCCATCACACGCACACACATGCAGCATGGTCGGCCTCACCCACCCTCTCTCCCCAGGGAAGGACCCCACGCCCTCCATGCTGGGCCTCTGCGGCTCCCTGGCCTCCATCCCCAGCTGCAAGTCCCTGGCGAGCTTCAAATCCAACGAGTGCCTGGTGAGCGACAGTCCCGAGGGCAGCCCCGCACTGAGCCCGAGCTGAGGAGCCTCGTGGGCAGTGCCAGCCCCATCTGCCTGGGGCCATGGACACCTGTGACCTTTCCTCAGAGTCCCCTGATCTGATCTAGACCACCCTTCCAGAGAATGCTGCCCATCCAGCCAGAGATCTCTGGGGAAAGATGGTGCCCTTGCCTCTTGTCCATTTTCACTTCCAGCTAGACTAGGCAGGGCCGTGAGAAGGCTGGATGGGGCCAGAAGACCGAAGCACCCAGGCCCAAGAAGCACCTTGGGGGCATGTGCTTTCCTCCTGGTGACCCTGGTGCCTGGCTGGCTCCCTGCTGGACACACCATGGCTCCTCTTCCACCTTCCTTGAGCTGGTGGCCCAGCCCTCAGCACCTCACCTTCCACACATCATGTCTGTCCTTGTTCACCCTCTGGCGTCCCTCCTTCCTCAGCAACCTGAGGGTGGAGGGCTATGCTGAGGGGGTCAGGCAAATAAAAACCAGAGGACTGAGGCCAGCCTGGTCTGTGGGGGCTGGGACAGGGTCTTCCTGTGGTCAGCAGAGCCACTGCTCCATCATGGCCAAGTCCATTTCCTCATGCTTATCAGAAAACCAGCCTGGGTGCCAACAAGTCCTGAGCAGGGAATCAGGGCTGTTTAATGTCTGAAGTTTCTAGGTCAGCTCAGGGCACAGAGGTGCCCCTGAAGCGTTGTTATTCTTTGAACCTTCAGGGGGCAGGATGGAGGCAGGTCCTAGTTAGGGCCTCAGTTTTCTTCCGTCATCCAGAGAATCCAGTTTCAGCATACTGCACTCTCCCTCCTGTGGTCATGTAAGTGTGCCCTTGAAAAATGCTCTCATCACCTCTACCTTGGCTCTAACAGTGAGCCCTGAAGAAGGGAGCCCCCTTATTTGGTGGGATCCCTACACAGATACTTCCCTGGGAAGCCTCAAACAGCAACAGGACCCTCCCCTGGCCTTGGTGTGTGAAGCATTCTTAATGTCCTACTTTTCCCACCCTCTAGCCCCTCAATTACAGACACTTGACAAATTCAACTTTAGATGTAAGGAATTAATGGAGGTAGGAAAGACTGAGGCATGCCCAGCCAGGGTGTTTGGTTCCTAGGGGCAGGTCCAGTTACAGCAAAAAAAAACAGGGAAATGAAGGTGTGGGCAGACAGCAGATTTGGTCTTGAACTTGGGAGACAGAAAAGTGATGCTCCTTGAGCCTCAGGAATGGGGAGCAACAGAAAGAAAGCCATGTCTGAGGCGGGCCCTGAAGACCCAGAGGGGGGAAAGGGAAGCAGCTCCCCACCCCTCAGTGCTGAGGAAAAGGCACTTGGCTCAGTCTCCAGCTTGCATCCATCCATGAAGCAGCTGGGGGTGGGTCTTGAATTCCTGGCCCCTTTTAAGGGCCCTGCAGTCGCTCCTGGTTGAGTTTCTGGAAAAACCTTCTGCCAAACTCGTAAGTGCTCATCATGATGGCACAGGAGGGGGCAGCCTTGATGATCCTTGGGAGGAAGCCTGCATCCAGAGGGGGACCAGGTCAGGGGTTGTGGCCCCAAACCCTAACCCCACGCAGGGCACAGGTACAGACACCTACTGACCTGCAAACAATCCCTTGGTCCCTGACTCAGCTCGGATCCTCCGCAGCAGCACCCAGGTAGAGTCCACACGTGGAGGCCTCACTGCAAGAACAAGGCACATTGTTCAGATGCCCTCACGCCCCCATCTGCCCCTCCACACCAGCTGGTCCCTCACCTCTCACAGCCTCCATCGCTCCCAGCTGGACCTGGCGCTGAGTCTTCACAACATCAAAAGGCAGAGTCAGGGTGGCTGCCACCTGGATAGGTGGGGAGAAGGCTTAGAGTCATGCCCAGGACACCATTCCTTCATCTAGCAGAAGAGGAGGCTCCCAGGGCTGGGAGGGACAAAGACCTCACAGGTCCTCAGCCTTAGCCAGGGCAGCATGGGGACAGCGTGCTCTCCAGCCACCAGTGCTGCAGGGCCGTTCTGCAGGCAGCTATGCCCCAAATCTCCAACCACCTTTGGGACCTCAAGGAAAACCCCGTGGGCCTCACCTGCTCCATCAACTCACCGTTCCTGAGATCCCGCCAGCTAAGAAGCTGATGCCCACAGATGTCTGGTCATTTGTCCTGGACCCACTTAGCCAGCTCTTCACCAACTCGTAGTTGAACCAATATAGAGCTTAGAAGATGGAGGTACTCGTGAGACATGAGGGAGGTAGGGTGCAGAGGGGAGCCCTAGGTGTTCTGTCACCCTGATTACTAGCCACTAGGCACCCTCCAAGAATTACCTCACAACAGTCCAGAGAGACCACTACCTGCTGTGCCCGTTTTACAAACGACAAATCTAGAATTAAGACTTAGCTACAGGTCCCTATGCATTTTAGGCCCTGCACTCCTGGAGACTTACCCGAGAAGGGCACATCCCGAAGGGCAGTGGGCGCCCAGCCCAGCCACAGAGAGCGCCAGCCTCCCTGAGCCACTGCAGCCTGAACAGAGGCCCTCAGCTCCCGGTACAACACATGCTGAGCCTGCAGCTTCGTCCGCACCAGCTCAAGGGGGCTAATCACAGTCACTGTGCCCACTGAAGAGAACATGGTGGGAAGAGATCAGGTTTCGGGACCTAGAATGTGTGCCTCCCACCCCCACCCGGCCTGACAAGATAGGCAGAGACCAAGGCAGGGAACCAATGCTAGGTTTGAACAAGAGTGGGACAGAGGGAGTTCAGAGTCCTGCGTGGTGCTCACATCGGGCCAGAGCGCCAGCCATCATGGGTACATAGAGGTCAGAGGTCAAGTTTAGCCCAAACAGGAAGGTCTTGAGTTGGTCATAGACGGTGAAGTAAATGGCGGTGGCCGGCACATTCATCACCCTGGGAGTGTGGACTGAGGTTAGCTGGGTCTTCCAAACCGTCCCTCAACCCAGCCAGCCCTGCCCCCACCCCCACTCCCCAACCACCCAACCCTGGAAGGTGATACAGGGAGGGGCTACTCACAGGGTGGCTGGGAGGCCACTCCAGAGGGTCCTGGTGCCTTCATGCCTCACAATCTTTACAAAGGCATCCTGATCAAGTGGGCCCATTCCAGGGGGGAAGAAGAGACATGAGGAAGGCCTGTGACTGCCGAGGGCTGGTCCAGACCTCCCTCCACCCACAGCGTCCTGGAGACCCCTCCCGACTTTCCAAACCTTCTGTGGGGAGGCCTATGCCAAGACCTAACTGGCCATCACCCTATGCCCTGCGCTGCTTGTTCTCGGCTGGGGCTGAGTCCCTTGGGAATGAACGCCTCCGAGCCCATCCTGGGGAACAGCTGCTCACCATGGTGCCAGTGAAGCGGGTGGTTTCCTGAAACCAGGTGGCACAACGGGCCCCATTTGGGCATAGGTACATTGGCTCCACGACTCCATTGCAGTACAGGAGGCACTTCCCAGCAGGTTGGAGAGGGGTCGACACTGGGGGAGGGGAGGGAGCATTAAGATTACATGGCTTTGGAACCCTGCAGAGGAGATAGGTGCCCACTCTGGCTAGGCCCATGTTTGGGATAAAGTCCTAGAAAAAATACTGGCTGACAAGACCAGCAGTAAGTCTGGGGCGTGACTAGGATAGTCCCTACTCTAGGGCTTCCCTGTGCCCCTGGGACCCTTTCAAGGCTCCCTGTGGCTTGAGGCACTCACGTTTGGTGTAGATGCTCCACAGTCTAGAGGGAGGTGTTGGCTCTAAAACACAAGGCAACCCCCCCCCCAGTCAGACCAAGCCCACCACCCGCAGAACTCCCCAAGTTTCCCTCTTGCTCAGGTACCACCCCCTTCATCCTTCCAGACTCTTACCACTGGCTCCTGAGGGGCGCTGGGACTGCAGACGCACCTTCACCACGTCCAGGGGTGTCACTAGGGGTGGGGAGAATTCAAAGAGTTCCTTTCAAGTTCCTATTCTGGCATCTCCCTCCAAACAAGGTCCCTATCTTCCAGTTTAAATTACAACCGCCCCCAGTCCCCAGCTGCCCTTCACCCCACTAGCCCAAAGCCTTACTAAAGAGAGAGGTGACTGTCGCCCCAGTGCCTGAAGCCACCATCTGCTGAAGGAGGCTAAGGCCCCCGGGTTCTTGGTCAGCCATATTGAAGAGTCGACCCTGAAAGCAAACCTCAGTCACATGGGAAGTAAAAATCCCAAGGGAGCTCTGGTGGCCTAGTAGCAAGGAGCTGCAACTACAATCCCAGAGGTGCACGGTTCGAATCCACCAGATGCTCTGCCGGGGAAGGAGGGGTGGTCTCTTCCTGTACCAGTCAGATCTGATTTGACGATACACTCACACAAAAATAATAACATTTTTTAAAAAAATCCCAAAAGTGGGTTTCCAGGAGAGGGAGACACGGGTGAAGGCACTTTGGGGGATCTTAATTGGTGACCCGCATCCTTCAGGCCCTGAAGCAGAAACTGCCTCGAGTAATCTCCAGAGCAAATTTGTTCAATCCAAGTACTGTCAGAGCCTTTATCATCGGGGAAACGAAGGTTAAAACCGAAGGTAAAGTGACACGCCCACGACCATTCCAGATGTAATTAGGCAGCAAACTGCCTTTCCCAGATACCATTCACTCACCATGCAGCACATGGTTACTCGGCATCCAGCGCAGGTGCCGGGTTTGGCCCTGGCTGCTCAAAGATGCAGACACCCAGACCACCCCGCTCCCTCCAGGCCCCGGCGACAGGACGGACACACGCGCGCCCGAGTCACCTCGTGTGGACAAGCGAGGCCGGGCAGCGAGCGAAACGTGTCAAGATGACGGCGGCCCTTCTTCGCACCCGGCCCCTAGGCAGATGGGCCAGGCCCGGAGCCCGAGCAGGAAAGGCTAGCGCTCTGCCCTAAACAGGCAGGGGGCTCAGCTGGAAAGGGAGGAAGTTGGAGCCGGGCACAGGAGAACTTCACGTAGGGACGCCTGGAGAGGCAGATGAGGTCGACATCGATGGCACGTCCAGCCCCCCAGCCCCAACCCGGCTCAAAGTCCCCGGGACCCCCAGAGACCCGGTTCTGGTCTCCTTCCCGACCCGGGCCCAACCCCGCCTACCTGATTCTAGGCCGGTGCTCGCGCGGCTGGGGGCCCGGGGGTCGGCGAGACCATAGCGGATCCACGACCGCAGCAACGACCCGCGCGTTCTCCTCAGAGAGGCCTCAGTAGACAGCAGCCGCCAGCTCCGCCCCCTATCACGCCAAGAGGCTCCGCCCCCCGGTACCCTTCACGGGCCGAACGACCGCAAGCCCGGAGTTACGCCGGCCCGCCCACTCACGTCCTCAGGTCTCCGCCTCCACCCGTCCTTGGGGCACACCGCGTTTGCGTGAGCCGGCCCCGGCCCCGCCCCCTCGGTTCTAGGTCCTCTGCGGAGCGAGGGGGGAAGGGTGACGCAGGCTGCGTGCAATCAGCCGCCCGCGCTTTGCTATTTGACTGTTTATACAGCCCTGTCTGCTCTCACAAAGGATAAATGCTGTTCATTTATGGTGCTGGCCGAAAATATCGTTATACCACGGACAGCCAAAAGAAGGAACAAATCTTTCTAGGAAGAAGTGCAGCCAAAATGCTCCTTAGAAGCCTGGATGGCGAGACTTAGTCTCACTTACTTTGGACACATTTTCAAGAGAAGCCAGTCCTTGGAGGAAGGAAAACGGTTGAAGTCCTCTCAGTGTGTGGCGCCATAACGACTCCTCCATCGGTTCCCACGGAGCCACGGGTGGATTCGAACCACCTGAGTCGCGCAACTTTTTATAGACGAAGCCAGCAGAGCTCCTGTGGTAAAATTGAGGGTACTTGAAAAACAGGAAAAATATCCTGGGCGAAGCGGACCGACAGAGTGGCTGCAGGAGTGGGTTAAACAGTGAAGAATGTGAGGATGGCGCAAGGCTGGGCAACACTACCTTCTGTTGACTTTAGGGTCACTACCAACAACTGTTCACATAAAAGCCACCCCAGCACTCCTTGGGGAGCGTCCCCCTGGGGTCAGGGGTTCCTGGGAACTTTCTGGAGGAGCGTGGGCAGCGCTGCTTCCCCCTTCCCTGCACAGCGGAAGGTTGGTTCCTGAGATCAAGTCATCACAGCCAACATTTACCCCTCCTCCCATTCCCTACGCGGGAGATGGGGGCGGGGAGGTGCGGAAGTTTTGCAGTGTCTTGGTGACCCGAGTTCAGCAGGCACTAGCTCCACCTCGTCCTACAGATAATCTATGGGCGAGTGAGGTCACAACCTCAGAACCACTCTATGAAGGCAGCAGCAACAATAATAAAAACCTGTTCTCCAAAAACAAAACAAAACAAAAACAATAATAAAAACCCACTATATGAAGACTGTTGCATATGAGTGGTCTGTTCCACAATCAGCTCCTGGCCTAGTTTTCACAGCTGATATTGAGTTCTCCAGCGGTTCTTTCCACATATGTAATCGATCTGATTCCTATGCATACCATCAGGTGAAATCCA